CAATTTGCAGCAACCCTCTCAAGCCCTCTTCGACCTTCAAGTCTTCTTCGCCAAAGTCTTCTTCGCCAAGATGAACTTCGCTTTACAAGTAACCAAAACTGTCCCACTCCATGCGCCAAGACGACTAACTACCAAGCACCACAGGAAGTCTCGAGCCGGAACGTCCATCTTGCACGCCACGAGACATGCACCCATTTCCTCCACCGCGACCTCACTCTGCAGAGTCCACTTGGGTCAGCTCGTCGACTTGGGCCAGAAGATGAACAACGTAGCCTAGATCTCACGTAGTGCACTCGGACATCGCCAAGAAGAAGGAATCCAGCCGGCTTCGACAGCATCAAGCACTCCAGAGAACGAAGCGAGGACGACACGGAGCACAGCGTACTAGTCCTTGATAGTACCATGCGTCTCCGTCTAAAGAGAAGCATCGACCTGTATCTAGAGAGTCGACTCGAGCGCTCCAGACATTAATTGCTGCTGCGTGTACTCCCACAGCACCAGAGCCCCGCTCACGTGCACATTCAGTGAGCGTACCAGTCCAAACTGGGGGATTTCCACACACACGTCGACAAGCTGCAGCACTTCGACCGGGATCCCTTCCTTCTCTCGCCCCAACACCAGCACCATCTTACGGGGCAGCGTGTAGCTCGCGAGACTCACACTGGACGCCGTTTGCTCCACTGCCACAATCGTGTAGCCCTCGCGCTTCCATCGCACAAGTGCTCGTCGTAAATCGTCACCTTGAGGTCGCACTTCTTCCAGTGGCATCCACTTGTGAGCCGTGGCGCTGACATTCACGAACGTGACGTCCTGCTGCGTCATCCGCAGGTTCGGCACGACCAGTTTCTGAGCGTTGAAGATCTCGCAAGTCCGTGCCAGTCCAGCCAGATTCGGGACCTTGTCCACCAAGCTTGCACACATGATAAGAGGCTGTCGAGGTCGTTGACGGGCGTTCAGCGTCGCTCCACGTCGTGCTGCGTCAAAGTCGGCACGCATCGCTGCAGGGAGCGCACTGTCCACCAGCAGCAGCGCCGTCGTGTCAATTTTACGCTGCACAGTGAGGATTCCACTTACGCTATCCGTCTCCATGCTGCTCTTCTGCTCTGAAGGAGTTGGAGGAAAGTTCTCGAGCTGGTACTGCGCGTAGAGCTCGTTCATGGCAGTCTTGAGCTGTTCACTGAAGCGCAGAGCGTCGTCACGAGGTAAGAGCTCTCCGAACTCGCTAATGAAGCCAGAAGAGAGCATCCCCAGCAACGAACTCTCGTAGTCCGGGTGGAACTCGTCCAGTTGTCGAGCTTGACGTCGTAGCATTCGCTTGCACTCCTTGTTGTTGCTCAGATAACGCGCCGTGCCCTCCAGAAAGCGGAGACCTGGAGTGTCTTTAGAGCTTTGTTTCAAGTAGTGGATGTGGCGAGGAAGCACCTTGGCCAGAAGATACTGAGCCAGTACGCGAGTGTAGCCATGAGACGTATTCAACCACGGCAACATGATCTCCAGCAGTTCTCCACAGTCGACGTCAAGACTGTTGTCGTCCAGCTTGGTGTCCACCAAATACGCCGACACAAGTAACAGTGAAGCGCCCACTTGTGGCATCAGATTCGCATCGCCAAGCATGGGCAGCAACACGCCAGAGCAAATCTCCGTTGGGAACTTGGCAGCCATCCGCATACCGAACAGCTCCATGTAGTAGCGAACACTGGGCAGTTGAGGCACAGCAAATGCAGTAGCTAGAGTAGGAAGCAACTCTGTCAGCTGCGACTTGGTCACGTGTGCACTGACGATGCAGAGAGCCTGCCAGGAGCGCAGTTTCTTGCCGAACCCATCGCTGTTGAGCATGTGTTGCTTCTGCCACTCAGGCGTCACATTGAGCTTCAGAAGTCGAGCTGTCAGAGCATCAAAGAGCTGCTGCGTATCGTTACTGGACGAGCTCTTGTCGACAGCGACGTCGTCCACGAAGCTCAACATGACAAGCCGCACAAATCTGTCCTTGGCGTGGGTCGTGACCGCTGCTGTCTGGTTGCCATCGAGAGGAGAATAGCCTTGGAATCCTTGGAATGGAGCACCCGCATCCGTTGCCAGCTGCTCCTTCTCGTCGATCAAAGGTTCCTTATACAGCAGCAGCTCCACCAGCTCGTCTACAAAGGACAGAGCCGACACTGGGTGTGCACGCCACGTTTGACATAAGCGACACGCCAAGTGGAAGACCACATTGGGTCTGTGTCTCGAGCCAAAGCGGATAAACCCTGCCAGCCAGAGCTTCATCGTCGAAGTCAGCTCAGCTCGCAGCAGGAATACTGGCTGGAACATACACGTCACGACAGCTCGAGTGAGGGTGTCAGGCTTGGCCTTGCTGTCGTTGTACGCCGTCCAGATTTCCTCTAACAAACTATCAATATCCTTCGAGGCCTGGACCAGTGACCCAGCCAGTTGTGCCAGCGTGAGAGACAGCACGTTGACCATCTGAATCAACGCCGAAGGGTCCATGCCGGCAGTGGGCAACGCCTCGACACACGCGTCATAGGTCGCTCGAAGTAGTTTCGTGTCGATGAAAGACGAGGATTTCACGACGCGATGCAATAGAATCCACTTGCTGGCAGCCAAACTGACAGCACAACGCGCGTCGAGCTTCCCACTGTAACGTCGACTTGTGTCCAGCGCTAAGAGCAGCGGGAGAATACGCTCACTTTCAAACGCACGTAGAGAGTCGATAGCGGCAGCGTTGGTGGCAATAATGGACAAAGACTTCGCCGCTAAAGCCAAGTCGAACACATTTCGATCAGCGGAAGCCATGACGATCTTAAGCTCTTCACAAAGAGCATCCAGGGCGTTCATCTCGTCCATCTTTCCAGCCGAAACCATCGTGTTTGTACTCATTTGTGTAGCCACATAGACATCAGATGCAACGAGCTCCATGATATCTCCCATTTCGTCATCCCCTGACTGCTTTTCCAGCCAGCTCCGGACGACTGTCATAGCAGATTTAAACAGATACAAACAGTTGACTTGTCCGTCATAAAAAGACTCGCGTTCGAACAAGAACGTAAGACCTTGTGACGGACAATCCACGAGATCCTGAACTTGCTCTTCTAACTTGGCAACCAAAAGCACAAGCCGCGCGATATCCAACTCTTCTGTCGAAGTCTCGCACAGCAACTTACTGATTGGAGCACGCAACACAATGTGCGTCTTCGAAATATGGTATGACGCTTCTTGATAGTAAGTTTCTGGTGCACTTCTGTTTTCTGCTGTTAAAAGCAGCAATCTCGCCAGTTGAGTCGAGCTCAGAGAATCCTCAAATCTGCCTTCCACTCGTGGCTTCAAGTATGTTCCGAGTGCAGTTGCCAGAGCGTGTTTGCTCTCACCAGAGGAAACATTCATCCACGCTAGAAAACGCACTAGCGCCTCACCATCATCTGCCACTAAGGTACTCGTGGGGAAGACGCAAAGAACACGAGCTAATGTCAGCAGCGACAGTGACGAGACACTCACGAAGCCTCCAGTGAGCGCGTGGCACAACGCACGAAGCATTTTCGTCCGCATCGCTTGTGAGAACGACTGCATGGCATGCACGTCCAGCAAGAACCGAAGGCGCTCAACTGCTGCATCGCTTAGAGTCATTTTCGACGTCGACAAGACTGTACGTTTTAAATGAGGAGACTGGAATACTTGCAGCATACTCAACAGCGCTTCGGGCGAGTGGCTGTCTGCGTCTTGTCCAAAAATCGCTTCTTCAATAGCAGCAACAAAAACATCCAATACACGTTCATTCCGGCTTTGAGAAGCGAGAAAAGATGCCAAGAAGTCAGCAACCAACGCCTGGAAACGGGCACGATGTGCTTGCTTGTACAGCATGGGGTTGTTGCACGCACGTAACACGTTATTAAGTACGAATTGCTGGAAAGCAGGCGCGCAGGAGAAAGAAGCTTGATGATCCACGTCGTTGGGAGTACTGTTTTGGTCCCACAATCTCCAATTCTCCACACATGTTTCCATAAACTTCGAGATAAATAACCGCTTGACGACGGGGTTGTCATGGGCGAATAAACGCACCAAGAGACTCTGCATCCAGTCGAACGTCAGCTGTACAGGCCACTGCTCACTCCTCTGTTGGTTGGCTGAATCAACGATCAAGTAGCTCTTTAATAGACCTGATACTTGCGGCCAAACCTGCTCAATCAGATGCTGTTCGTGATGCATCTGAATGACTTCTGAAGCCGTGAGAAAGCTCTGCCACGTGTTTATCCATGGTTGGTTGTCTTCCTTTGACGCCATAGCACAGTGAGAGAAGGCGATCTTGAGAATGTGAAGCCCCTGCTTGCGCAGCAGTGGGTCGTTGTGGCGAAGGGCAAAACAGAGTAGTTTTTGCAGCTTGACGTCTGCAATAGTTTCGAGTGGGGCCGTGGGTATCATGACACAGACTATATAGAGAAGTTCTTGAGGGAATGTCGTCTGTAGTGGGTCCCACGTATCCAGCACCATCGTCAATAGTCTCTTGTAAAGAGCTCCATCGCCGTTTTCTAGCTGTTTTGGTACAATATGCAGTGTCACGGCTCTCAGGAACTCTGGACGCTGTCTCCAGGTGTCTGTAGCTAGTTTACAGACCTGCATTGCGTCTTCCAGCCCATCCGTCTGCCGCAGCAGAAGCTCCAGCAACCTGCACAGCGAGTCGTAGCTCACTTCTTCGTCTCCAGGCTCCTGTACAAGCTCTTGCACTCGAATTGAAAGGTCCTTAGCAGCAACTTGATCTCTCTGCGTATCTAAAAGCCTATGAAGCATCCCCAGCGAAGCATGATGTAGTGCAACGTAGCTTTTAAGCTTCAGTATAGGCAGCAGCACGTCTGTTGTCAGCTTTCCGGACAATAGCAGCGTCGATCGCTCTTTCGACGACTCAATTAGCTGCAAATATTCTTCCAGCAGCACCGAAGAGGCCACTAGAATGAAGTGGAATCGTCTAATGTCGTCATTACCAGTGGGGAAGGGAGTTAACAGTGCTACAATCCCCTTTGCATCTTCTCTGAAGAGCTCCTGAACCTGATTCTCGCTCAGTGATAGACCGGTAGCTACCAGTTCAAGCTGCGCTTCCATCTCCGCCGCGTCCAGCTCCACAGGACCGCGATACCGTCCGTGGAAACGCTGCCAACGCGCCCATGCTGCCTCAATTGCCTCCATCACTTAAGGCAAGAGGAAACTAGCGTCCGATTGGATAAAACCCGAACAATGTATTCTGATTGGCTACTTAGAATGTAGCCATTTTGCTACCATCCACTTTTCACCATTCAACCATGCACTTCTGTCCGTCATGCGGCAACATCCTGCTTGTGGAGCCCGACGTACGTGTATACGCTGCTTTAGTGCAATGTCCCGTAGCTAACTGTGCTCTCTTCGTATGTATACAGTCCGATGGCATGCGTTTCTTCTGCCAGACGTGTCCTTACCTGTTCCAGATTAATGACAAAGTGGAGAAGAAGGTGCCGCTACAGCGCAAACAGGTGGACGACGTGCTGGGCGGCGACGAAGCCTGGGAGAACGTCGACCAGACCGAAAGTACGTCGCTATTCAATGAAACATTACTGAATAAATGACTTACCACCTCTCTCATCAGCTCGCTGCCCTCATTGCGAGTACAACAAGGCCTACTTCATGCAGATCCAGATCCGATCAGCCGACGAGCCGTCCACGACCTTCTACAAGTGTGTGCAGTGCAAGAAGCAGTGGAACGATTAACTTCCAATCACATCATAGATACATGTATCTCCTTTGCCTTCACAATTAACCTACGGACGTATATATTACGGCGTCATTAACGATTCATGCGCGCTGCACGTTGCGTACGTCGGCAGTTGTCGCACGTCTGGTTGCAGTCTGAGCGCTGGAATTGCTGGCCAAAGTACGATATAAGCAGTTGTCGACGACACGTCGTGTCATCCTCGCAGTATTCCGCCATTGACCTGAGCTTCTCTATGTGAACGGCGCGTGTCTTCTTCGTCATTCCTTTCTGTGGCATCGACAAGATGTTGCGCATCTTGGACACGTCACGTGGACTGTAGAACAAGATACATTGCGACGGCTTCCCGTCTCGCCCGGCTCGCCCAGCTTCTTGGTAGTAGCCTTCAATGGACTTGGCTACCGAGAAGTGGATCACATAGCGCACGTCGGGTTTGTTTATACCCATCCCATAAGCGATCGTAGCACACACGATACTAAGCTGACCGTTCTGCCAAGCCTCTTGTACCATGTGTCGGTCAGTGGCGGACTGTCCAGCATGGTAGAAATCAGCGCTTAATCCGTGGTCAAAGAGGTAGTTGGCTACATTTTCACAGTCTTGTTTCGTCATACAGTACACGATACCCACTGCGTCGGGCGGATACGTCTTCGATATGAGTTGATACAGCGCGTCCAGGGCCTTCTTATCGCCTCCGCGAGGCTTATCGCGCACCTCGAAAGTAAGGTTCTGTCGGTTAAAACTCATGGAAAACACGTGTCCGTTTGATATCAACAGCGACTTCTTGACGTGGTCGATGACCTTGGGTGGCGCTGTCGCTGTTAATGCCATCAGAGGCACGGTAGGGAAGGTTTTCTTGAGTAGCCCAAGCTGGTTATACTCGGGTCGGAAGTCGTGTCCCCATTGGCTAACACAATGAGCTTCATCGATCACGAACCGAGCCAGCATCTTGTTACGATGCAAGTCTTTTAACAAGTCCATCATCTCTGGAGACTTGATGATCTTCTCGGGTGTCAAGTACAGCAGCTTGACACTGGGCGCAGAGCGTTTCAGCTCAGCTGTGATGGATCTCTTGAGTGTTAATGACGTTTGGCTCGTTAGAAATGCGGCTGGAATGCCACATCCAGGATTCTGAATCAGCGCCGTCACTTGGTCTTGAATAAGCGATAGGAGCGGCGAGACTACAATGGTCACGCCTTTGCTCAGCACAGCAGGAAGCTGGTAGCACAGACTCTTGCCGCCTCCTGTAGGCATCAGGACAAAGCAGTCTTCTCCACGCATTGTAGCTTCTATGACCTCTCGCTGGTTCTTCCGGAAGCCGTCGTTACCGAAGACTTTTCGATTGGCTCGGGCGAGGCTATCGTTGGGACTTTTAGATGTTTGTACTGCTCGTTTCTTTGTTTGTGGAGGCTCACTCGATGCTGCTGAGCGGCTTCTACTCTGTCGGATTAAGTCTAGTGCTGTATTGGGCTCTCTGTTCTCTGGTTCGTCATCTGATTCCTCGTAGAATGAACGTTGACGCTTCTGTCGACTTAGTGGCGCGTCGTCCAGCGTCAAGTCGATGGCATCAGCGGGCGGTTTCCCTTCTTCTTGAGCTTGAGAGCGAGGTAGCGTCGAAGCTCGCTGGAAGTGTGCGTCAATCGGCACAAAGGCTGGCCCCTTCTTCCTGCGCGCCATTATTGCTTTCATGCTTTCCGCAATAACTTACACTGCGTGTATTGGCTAAAACACAGCGTTGGGCCAAAAGCGGTTCTTTCACATGATTGGCTGTATATCCTCCGATAAGCTTCACTCTAAAAAATATTAAATATTTATTAGATATTTGTTAAAGTGAAGCTTATCGGAGCATGTAAAAGAACCGCTTTGAAGAAATTTTCTTCAAGCAATAGCAGAAAGTCAATATTGTTTTTTCACCCAATCATTATCAATAACAAACTCGCATGACAACCAACACGTACGATAGTTGGGGCAGCGCCGCCGAGCACTTCGCGGACGGCTCTATCTGCCTCGGCATCGACCTAGGCACCACCAACTCATGTACTTTGCTCTATACCTCTCTACGCTTCCTATAATCCCTTATTTAACCCAAATAAACCTGCTCAATAGGCGTGGGGATGTGGTACGTGGATCGAAACCACGTGAAAATCTTTAAAAATCATCTGGATCGCGGTCGCACGACGCCCTCTGTGGTGCGCTTTGACCCTAAGAGTCAGAGCGTAGCTGTGGGCAATGTAGCTGTCGGTCTGGAGACTTCGGAGCCTGTGGAGAACACCATCCGCTCGGTCAAAAGGCTCATGGGGCAGAAATTCGACAGCAAAGCTGTAGACGTCGCCAGGATCTACGCCTCCTATGAGGTGGCACCCACCGCACAAGGAAACGTTGCAGTCCAAGTAGTCCGAGGCCAGAAAAAGGTGCAAGTGCAGCCCGAAGAGGTCTCTGCCTGTGTATTAAGAGAGCTTAAAGCCTCCGCTGATGCCTATTTCGACGGCCATACTAAGCTGGACAATGTGGTTATCACGGTACCAGCATACTTTAGCGATACGCAGAGGAAAGCGACTATTGCAAGTGCCTCAATGGCGGGATTTAAAGCTGTGAGACTGCTAAACGAGCCCACAGCGGCCGCTATGGCGTACGGATTGTTCCTGTCCGGCACAAAGCTAGTAACGGTGTTTGATTTCGGCGGAGGGACACTGGATGTGTCGCTGCTGAGTATTGAAGACGGCAAGTTTGAAGTTCTGGGCATTGGAGGCGACACGAACTTAGGCGGGGAAGATATCAATAATACTCTACTGGATCATGTGCTAGACGTGCTGTATAGACGTCATAACGTGACACGTGCCCAAGTGGGTCAAGCAGATATGGTGAGACTGAAACGAGAAGTCGAGAAGGCGAAGATCGAGCTGTCGGAGCAAGAAGACGCGGAGATATCCGTGCATGATATTGCTGACGTGTCGACGTTCACGTATACGTTGACACGACGCAAGTTCGAGCAACTATGTGACGCTATCTGGAAAAAGTCAGTGGTCCAGTATGATATTTACGGTGGTTTTTACTCAGAAAGGCTTACAATTTTTTGTGGAAAAATGTTGCAGATGTCTTCGTATTGTGTCGAGTGTGCTGAGGGACGCAGAAGTGGAACCTTCGGACATTGACGAAGTAATTCTAGTGGGGGGATCCACCCGCATCCCGGTTCTACGGACCAAGATCTCAGAGGCTTTCAACGGCAAAGTATGGTGCAGTTTAAAGTCGCGTTGGATGCCATCGGTGCGACCTCATACTGCTGTATTACTTGTGTCTTTAGGAACTCTGCATGTCTGTGAACGCTGACGAAGTGGTGTGTGAGGGAGCTGCTATCCAGGCTGCGATCTTGAGTGGAATGGACCAGCGTGTGTTCCGTGATGTTCTCATGATGGACGTCCTTCCGTTGCCAATTGGACTGGAGACTGCGGATGGCTCCATGGAAGTGATTCTCCTTAGAAATGCACGCATCCCGACGACAGTGACGAAGTATTTCCAAACGTACGAAGATGAGCAGCGTGGGCTGACTGTCGAGGTTTATGAAGGCGAGAAGGAGGTCGCTAAGGAGAACGACCACATCTGCTACTTTAACTTCGCGCTACCACGAGACAAGGTCGGCAAGGCGGGCGAGTTCGCTCATCCCGTCACTTTCACGATGAATGCCAGTGGGATTCTGCAAGTGCAGGCTGGAGTTCACCACGATTCAGAGGAATCGCCCATGTCGAAAGCTGCCGTCTTCCTCATGGGAGCTTACATTCTCGCGCTCTCCGGGTTTTATGTGTTTTTCCGGATTTACTTTGCCGACGAGAGGGACATCACGGCATGACAGACGACGGATCTACAGCTAGGACCTTCAGTACATGGATGAAAAATTACTTTCTTCTTGCTATCTTAGTCTGCAAGACATTTCAGGAAAAGCTTTTTATTAACCCCTCTGATACCGCAAATGGAGTCTCTGAACGTGCAAACATTACGTCGTAACTTACGACGTCCTAATAACAGCATTATTGTATAGGGGCGCCCCTTTTGCCGTAGGATACATCGGCGATGGTGAATAAAGTTTTGAAGTGTTTGGTCTTCACATGTCGTATACTTACGACCTCTTCTAAACGCCAACGCATAGAGAAGTCTCAACTTACGACTTCTACTAAAGCCTGATTCAAGAAATGTACTAACCACGTACAAAATCAATTACATAAAACAACGACACTCGAGATACTACAATCAAACCCCCGTTTTATGGCGTTTTAAACGTTAGCTACATACGCAGTTTCGCCCTCGTCATCAGCATCGTCCTCCTCTTCCCGCAACAACTCACGGCGTGTTTTCTTGCGCGCTCCAAACTTGGCCGGACGTCGAAACACAACTCGTTTCCCAAGTGACTCAGGAATTGATTTTCCACACTTAAAATCTTCATGCCAAATCTGGAAGCATGTTTTCGCGATTCCATTGTACTCACGCCGAGCTTTCGGGCAGAGGAAAAATTTGGCCTCGCCGCTGGAGCAGTCTTCGCAGTAGAATGTCGTCTGGAAAGATTTTTTTCTTTCACCGCGAAGAAGTGCGCATACCTTACACGCACGCTGTCTACGCTTTTGAGCGCCGGACACAATGACCCAGTCATCGTACTTGGCGCAATTCTCGCGGCCCGGCATACCTCCTTGTGTGTGATAAAAGCATTCACGATCGCCAGATCTAGGAAGCCTAAAAATAAGGACTTGTAGTACTTTCGAAACCGATAAGCCATTTGAATTGAGAACGACTGCAGGCGGAGTTGATCATGAATATCAACTCCGCCCATCCACCGCTGATAATCGGTCACTAGCTTGGGACACTTCACAGTAATCGTCCCAATCTGTTTCACATTGCGCTGAATCGTATCCTCCTCCATCGATGCACCCGTGGCCAAATAATGGACTGGCTTTCTATCCCACCAGCGGCACGCAACCATTGTAGGTGCTGCCTCGCAGCGCGAGAACGTAAAGGTTCCTCTCTCAACCCCACGAGGCCGCGTCCGACGGCCTTCAACGACTTGACGGTCAAATCCAATGCGGTTCGTCATGATAGTTCCGACGACGTAGATAGACATACCGAGGAGCTGTAAAGCCAGCGCTACGGACGAATAATACCGATCGACAACGACCATTCGAAATCCACTAGAGCAGTCGCCAAGTAAAATTTTCATGTTGCGAATGACGGCAGCCGCACCCGTCTTGTTGTCGATAGTGGTGTATTCTCCGTCTGTTGATTCACGGGCTCCAACATAGACCTCAAACCTAAACCAGTAAGTTACGACGTTAGCTTTTCAGAATTGCTAGAGATGTCAGAAGTTACGACTTTGAAAAAAGGATACTAACGCACCTGTGGCAGTAAGCTATCTTTGAGTCGCAAACCATAAAAAGTTTGGTACCGTACCGATGAGGTTTATCTGACATAAACATCCGCGTAGTGTTCCGCCGAGACGTTGCTGGTAACACACCTTCATCGAAGGAAAACACTGCCGGCAATGTCCAGCCAGATTGGAAGCGCTGCTGCAGGATATCGACGACCGGACGCAGTTTCCACAGTTTGTCTCGAGTGCGGGGTGCATTGTTGTTTGTGAAGTGTAGATCACGTAGGATAGCTGTACATCGGTTGCGTGGCATATATTTGCCAAAGGTACCAGCAGGTAAAGCTCCGTCACACGCCATCGCCCAGTGCTTCGAAAACCGTTGCTTGTGGGGGCACAACATGTGCGCAACAAGCAGCCCGATCGCGTGCAAGATTTCGCAGGTATCGTACGCCTTCGCAGCCCTCAAACGCCGTCGTATCTGCAAAAGTGTTTCTGGTGACGCGATACGGTTGCTACGCCTCTGGCTTGAGCGTATTTTCTTGGCTTCTGAGTCAATGTTCTGGGCTCGATAGCGGTTGGTTTCAGTCGCGATGTCGACCCACAACTGCTTAGGCATGAAGTAGAACAGCAACCCTAGTGGTGTAGTTGCCATTTCCCGTAGCTCGTGCGTAGGAGTTGCTTCGTCACTTGAAAGCCCCTGGTAGCTCGGTCTACCACTTTCGAACAGAGAGGACGGTTCACTCCACTTCGTCAGGCGCAAAGCATCCTTGTCGATGTTGGCAATGGAGAGAGTCCCAGCAAGAGAAGCTACAAATGCCTCGTCAACTAGTTTCAGCTCATTATCCGGAAGTTCGTCGTCGTCTTCAACATGTTCTCTGCGCTCTACCACATCGTCCTCTTCACAGTCATCACCACCATCATCGCTGGTGCTAGATTCCATACACTCGAAGTCATCGGAGTGTTCGTCTTCTTGTAGTACATTCACATCGTCCGCTCTAACGTGGACAGCGGGTGGAGACGTATCCACACGTTCCACATCATCCTGCTTGCTCTCGTTGTCCGAGAACTGGGCATGTCCTTCTGATTCAGCTTCCGACAGCATTCGCTGGAACGCACCAACAACGACATCTTCGTCTGATAACCCGATCTGACCAGGTAACTGTTCGCAACCTCGCCATCTATCCACTTGCGTGACAGAGCTCCAATTTCCAAATGAGCACGTCTGGAACCGTGGAGCCACTCATCACTGGGTACGGATCAGCATTTCCCGCATAACCCTTTCCACCGCCCGTTTTGTGCACATGCAAGTTTGACCTGTGTGACCTTATACCTTTTGGAGCAGAAATTACACTTGATTAAAGTAATGGAACATTTTTATCGAGCCATTTGCTATTGTTGGTGTTGCTAAAGTCGTATCTTACGACTTTGTAGTTTTGTGAAGTCGTAAGATACGACCTTGATAACAGAGGGGTTAAATATTTCTTTTCAATCAAGCTCTAAATGGCTTTGCGGAAACATAGTCGAGGTATGCAGCTCCTATTTTCTCCCAATTGGCGTCGGTGTCCAAGGCAGGGGAAGCGAGAGCATTGAAAATGAGCTGGGGCTCAACTTTCCCATTGTGCCACGATTGAAACACTTTCTCTCTTGTTGCAGAATCGGTTATTATCTTCTCCGGTGTTTCGGCTTTCAATTGCGCTACAAGTTTCGCAATTTCCTCCTCCTTAGCCGCTTTAGCTGCAGCTTCGGCTGCGGCTTTCACTTCGCCTTTTGCAATGGCTAATGCTTCCTTGATCTCCTTGATGCGCTCAGACTTTCGAAGGTCTTTTAGCCTCGTCCAGAAGGAAAGCCCGTTCACCCCTCGTTCCTCCTCTGAGGCTTCACTCTCGTCGCCTTGTTTCTGCTCGCCTTCTCCGTCAATCGTGGCAACAACAGTTGGCGAAAATGCCGTTTTTAAATGTCGACGTATCGTTGCGTCTGCCGACCGAGCACTGCTGTCTGCTAGGAGAATGAAACCCACCACCATTGGTAGGACTAGCTACTGTTGTTCATCCGTGATTCATCCCGATTCGTCCCCAGTCGTCCCGAGTCGACAGGGGTCCTTCCGCACACCCTATTGCAGGACAGAGCAATGTAGCCACTTCAATATCACATCGAAATTTTCCCGCCACTTCAATTTCAAATTTCCCGCCTCTACGATCTTGGCATCTCAAGCAGATCTCCTTGACAGCTCGAAGAGATGATTCTCCTGCTGCTGGCAGCCTTGGTTGCCCCCTTGGCCTTGGCTGTGACTTGTGGCCGGCGTCGCGGGGGTCGATTTGGTCCATTATGGGACGAGTTTACGATTGTCGAAGGAACGGAAACGAAAAAGCGTAAGGACGCCAAGTGCGATCACAAAAACGCAACAGGCTACAGCAGGAGGTGACAGATTTTCTGGATGAAAAGCTCGGATGGATTGATGATGATCGTGGTATTTATTATCAATAGCCACCTTTTAAATGGTGGGGGTGGGATGGAAGTGAGAAGTATCCGTTACTTGCACCTATCGCGCTACGAATTTTCACAGTTCCGACGTCTTCAGCGGCGTCAGAGCGATCGTGGAGTATTTTTAAGTTTATTCACTCATCCCGTAAAAATCGGCTAAGCAATAGCAGGGTTTTTAAGCTGGCGTTCATTTACCTAAACCACGGGGCCAAGGACGCAAACGCACCCATCGTGTTCAATTTAGTCAACCTTGTTTGGACTTCAGAGAGCAACTCATCGAGCAGCCCAGAGAGCGACTTTGCTAACAGCGTTGAGTTTTTGGAGAGCATCTGCGAACTGGAACGATTGGTTGCAGACCCTGCATCTCAAGAAGGATATGAGTGGTTTGACGGAACGCACTGGGCAGACGAAGATTTTTTTACCTGTGGATGAAGAAATCGTAACAGAGTACATGATTTCTGTATAGTGCGAGATCATGGCTCGCACTAAAGCGTGGCGTGATCGACGTCGAAAGGCTCCTGCGCTATGCAGGAAGCTTGGTTTTGCGTCCTAGCGATAGGATATTTTGGGTAATTTAAACACCATTTATTTCAGTCCACTAATTAAAACTATCACACGGATGAATATTCATCCGTGCCGGACGAATCGGGACGAATCGGGATGAATCACGGATGAACAACAGTAGGACTAGCGATAGACGCATCCTTTACAGCTTCAGCAGAGAAAAATTAGGAATCGGTGTCCTACAGCTCTTGTTGAATTTTAGAATGTGACTGTACGTGCAAGTACAGAAATCGATTTTTACCTATAACATATTTTTAAAGAAAGAGCTGGGACTTACCAAGATTGTTTTCATGGCTAACGCGCGGCTGTATATCCAACGACGCTGTGATATAATTTGACGGTGGGTTCAAAATATCGTGGAAATGTCTCTCAAAATCTCGCTCTTAGCACAAGGACAGCAATGTATCCCATTATGTTATATATCACAGCGCGTTACGTACACAAAGGGTATA